GGTACTCATTTTCTTCACAGTGGTTATCAACAAAAATGTTATATCTAAATATGATGTAAGAGAACGATCCTGTGAAATATCTCTGAGCTGCGAGAAGACTTTTCAACCTTTTTCGAGAATAAACTCTGTTAAAAGTATTTTTATGTTACAACGGGACAAGGCAAAAAAATCGACGTTTTTCTTGAATATAATGACCTGCTCATACTTTGGAATAAAACTTCTTGTTACAATATTGTTGGTGAGAAAGAACCAGACCTTTTATTTTCATATTTAAATCTATATTTGTATTAGCAACACTATACTAGAAATTTAAGCTGACCGCTGATTAAACGTATTAAACGTATAATTTCTTATAAGAAGCAATTCCTGACGTAACGTCATAACATCTGTACAATCTAACGCAATTTTTTTTTAATTTTATTATGACACTTTTCTACAACAACTGCTAAAAATCTTGAATTTTAGAGCTGACTGTTTACCCCAAAGATCGAAGATTAATCGTTTTCAAAATAAACTTTAAGAATCGCTGTTATATGAAGGAAATACCAGAAGAAACAACTTAAGGTGTGCCCGGTCGGCAGGGGATGTTTATCCCTAAATGGCACCTGATCCCACCTCTGATGTTTGTAGAGGTGAATCGTATTTGATTTTTATTATTTGAATGGACAATTGAACGTGAATTTTTGATAATAAATGAATATTATTTCAGCAAGCAAAAACACGGGAGATATATTTGACAATGAACACTTGTCCTCTTACATAGAAGCTGTGGAAATGAATAGCTCTTTGTTACATTTATGTATCTTCTTTTTATGTTGAAAAGAAATTTAGCTTAATTTATCTTTTAAATCCCATTATCAATTAATTGTGATATTTGGATTATTTCCACTACAGGTTTCAGGATGCTTATAACAATACTTTTATTTGCATTATTCGTCACACTTGGTGCTGATATAACCAGAGATTTCTGTGAAGGTAAAGAAAATTGTCCTCTCGGTAGAGACCAGGACTGTATCGCACAGTGTGATAAAATGTTCGGTTGTGTTGACCGGATTTCCTGTAGAGTAAGGTATCAGTGCATGATACTGTCGTGTCCTCTAATAACAACTATTCCGATGACATCTACCATTTCAACTGTAAATAGGAATTAGATATTTCTACAGAAAGTTGACCAATTTGTTTGTATGATTCCTGAACTCTTATTTCTGTAGAATTTGTAAAGATTGAATAAAGATGATTTTGAATATAGCTTTGCTATATTTCATTTTGTATGGTTTGTTTTTAAGCTAATAAATACAAAATGTACCAAACACTTTTAAGTTAAGGTGATATATATATACCAGCAAAAGTTAATGCCTTTACAAAGTGTTTTCAAATATACTAATATTAATCTGTTCATAAGTAGATAGTATATCATAAGATCCAATGTATGAATTTTCAAAGTATTAAATCCGAGAAACAATTGCAAATGTACTTCATTTGCTTTTTAGCCGGACTTATCGCTGAAAGAGCAATTGCCGGCTTATGTGATCCTGTTCAAGGCAGGATGTTGACCCCATAGTCGCCATTTTAAAGTTACGTGCAAAAATATAGTTCTTACTCTCAACCGCTTTTGAGATAATACAAACGCTAAATAAAGCAACAAAAATAAAACGAAGTTTTATCTATATAAAATAAATATTAGTAGTAATGACTTTGAAAACCTCATAAGTCAAAGAACATAGTTCATTAGCGTAAGGATTTTTGATAATCAGTGTTACCGTAGTTCTCTACACATACGAGGTAAAGCAGGAGAGGGAACCAGACTGGCCTGTTTGTTCATACTACCCATAGTCCTCTGCGTCTCCGCACTGCGGTACCCATGGTACCAGATTAATTCTGATTCTGACAAAATCGGACCGTGGTATTAGGATTGAAAAACTCACTGTCAGTGTCTTATCATTTTATATTGATAGTTTAAAATAATTTTTTCATCAGAATATAAACGTGATTCATGTAAGAAATCCATTCTACTCTGTAAATGAGCCCGGCTTTCCGTACTTTTGAGTACTTTGATTTAATTTCCTATCATGTGCATGCATACAAAAAAGGAAATTAAAGAAGAACTACACAGTACCAGGTATATCAAATTCACCGTTATAACGAAATTTTATTATGCAAATAAACGAGGTAATTATGCAGAGCCAGTGTCAATATAACATGCAGACATTTAATCAGCATACACGTGGATCATTGCTTATCTAAACACACACCAGACCGTCATTGTTTATCGAGAAAAACTTTAACAGGTAAAACAAATTACCAGATCATGTGTTATCTAATATAAGTGAATTATTCCCATGTAAATTTTTTCCTGTGTTATCTTGTTTGATTTGAAAAAAATATTATATGCTTGAATTATTTTATAAGACCGAATGATAATGGTGTACATTTTCATTGATGGAAAAGGTAAGATAGACCCCTTTATAAATACAACATGGTAACACCATCAGATTCCGGTAACAGAGCACAGGACGTTAAACGGTGTCAACTTTGCCCCGGAAAAGACAGAAAGTCTGCTACAGAAACTGTGTGTAAAACATGTCATGTCGATCTCTGCAAGGACTGTGTAGGTCATCATATGATTGCAAATCCCGCCATTAGACATGATGCCGTTACTTTTGAATTCAAAAAAATTGAAATCATGTCTCCACAATGCATTGTCCATGGCGAAAAACAATGCAAAATGTTCTGTGAACAGTATGAATCCCCAATATGTCAGAAATGTCTAGCCTCGGGATCCCATGTAAATTACAGTGTACCACCTATTACTGAAATATGTAGCTCTAAACAGGAGCTTAAATGAGCTTGAAACAAGTATTGCACCTGTTTATGAATCAATACTCGCCAACCTAAAAGAGATGTTATTAAGCTCTGAACAGAAACATGATGAAAAACAAAGAAACATTGATGAAATTGGTAAAACATGGCACAAGGTAATGGACATCGTTATCAAAAAATATCAGAGTGATGCAACAAAAATGGAAAGAGATGATGTTCATGAAATTAAGAACTTGGAGGCAGATTTTCAGAAATGCTACTTATTAATTCAATCAACAGTGGATGAAAACAAATCTATTCTGGCTTCAAATGATCCATCTAAACTTGTCAATTACGCTTCAGAAAATAAAAAGTTCAGAAATATTCATTCTAGATTTGAACTAACAATGCCAGAATTCAGTCCCACAGAACTTACAGAGCAGGAATTGTGTCAATTAATTGGAGACAGAAACAAAGAAAACTTGCATTTAAGGACAGGTCCTGAAAGCTCCCCAATACAATTCAAGTTTAGAAAGAGCTGTAAAGAAGTTTCTTGATTTCCACTTATAGCAAGGGATATTAATACTGATGGAGCAATTTGTGACCTAGCTTGTACGTTGTATTCCTCACAAGATAACCTCTGGTTCAGTGAATTCAATGAAATCATAAAACAGATAAACACAGAGGAAAAGTACTGAGGAAGATCAACACAAAGACAGAGAATATTGAACCATATACTTTAATGGTCTCCAGAGAAGAACACTTCATATAAAGTGAGGGGGAAAGTGTCACTGAGTAATTAACATAGTTGAAGGTGATAAGATAAAATGTCTGCTCAAAGTAAAAGATTGGATTCCAGATGCTATCTACTGTGTCTGTACTAATGACCTCTTAGTATATATGAAAGCTATATTAAAATGGGCCAAGTATAGAAAAGTTGTTTGTTATTCTGGCTCTACAGTCACACAAGAAATAAAATTAAGTGGCCGACGTTTTTATTCATTTTTGGTGGTCTATATTGATGAAAACAAGAACCTTGACATTGTATTGAGTGAGCAAAATACAGTATTAGTGTGAAAGGCAAGTCTGGTTTCACTACAATGGAATGAAATACAAGAATTTTACTCCAAATGGTATCGCTACGGACAGCATGTGTCACATTCTGCTTGCTGAAATGGCTAATAACATCATACACATCATTGACCAGAATGGACAATTCCTCCGGTACATAGACAACTGTAAATTGTACAAACCATGTGATCTCATCATAGACAGCAATGACACCAAGTATGTTGCTGAGACACATAGAATCAAACGAATTAAGTACATGTATATGGAATATGTTCAATATGGTTTTGCAGCCAATAAATTGGGATTATTTAATAATATTTACATTTGCAAATGTTTTCCTTTATATAACACTACTGAAAGCAATAAAAGTGAGATCAAAACACTCAGCCCTCGTATATATGAAGTTTCGTCCAAGACAAAAAAAGGAAAAGTGAATATATGGAATAAATAATATTTCCCAAGGACTGTTGTTCTGTTTATTTAGTGTGTTGATAGTGACAAAATGGGGGGCATTCATTTTAAGATTTTAAATGATTCATATAATTATTATTAATTCCCCTGATCACCCCTTTTCTCTCCCTATTTGGAACCCATAGCTTTATCCGTTTGTCAATTTCTTCCGTTGAATTAGTTAAACTTTAATGGATCTGTTACGACTTACGGCTGTCTATGTTTACGGCGTAACATTGTGGGCCTCCTTAATCTGAATGTTGAACGAAAGACAACAGGATATAAATTGTTTTTCACATTTTATTAGATTTTATTCAGATAAATGTACACACAACTCGTCTTTGGCTCCACGGTCTTCACCCGAAATAAAAACAAACCAACCATCCTTTCCAACAAATGTTAATTTAAAAACCACCCTTATAAACAAACCCTTTAATAAATGTGAATAGACCTAATACCTTTAGGTCTTGAATAAAGATTTAACTAGTGATTTCTTCACTTAATGAGTATAAATATAAAACGTCAGGTTATAGCACGCAACTATTTGTATAGGGACAAAAAGTTATGCTAATATCTCGATACAATGCGTCTAGCATTTTGTTCATAACATTCGAGGTTGTCGTGGGTATGCGTCTGACCGTTAAATCCCTGGGAATATAAAGCCTTTAACGAATATAATGCGATAACTGGAAATCAGCGGAAGTGCTGGTCCTGTGTTTGCCCGTGCATTTACAGATACGCGCCACTACGGTGTTGTTGTTTCCTATGATAGGATATTATCTGGTAAGTGACATTGTCTTTATAAGTAAAATTTAATTTCTTCAGGTATATGGTGTGATTACTCTATTATGTTTTTACAGAACAGTTCATTAAATTAAATGTAAATTATTTTTTTCTAAAGACGTCTAACATGTTCGGTTCAAGAAAAAATTATTTACATATGTTTTCTAACTTAACCTATCTCAACCTATGGATTATTAAGTGGGGAAATGTTTACAAAAGTTATATGAAAAATCACAAGTTATATAAATGAAGCGCTTTTGGGTAACTTTTTTTTTAAATATAGAGGTGGTATTTTGTGCTGCAAAATTACCTCCCTTTTCAATCAGCTGTTTATAGTTTATTTCAATATTAGGCCTATATCACATGTATATATAGGAACTTTTTACAATACATATTTTATATAATAATTTGTGATTGTATACAGTGATGTAAATTTTTTTTTTGTTTAGCCAAGGCATATTGGATCGACATAGTGTGTTTGTGCCATATATGTTGAAAAGGTAATTGCTTAATTAGGGTTTTATTTATTAAATAATGTGTTTGCTTTCTGTGCACATGCAATTAGTACATATAGTTGTTAGAAATTTAATCAAAAAGTATATATTGTTTTCTTCATGCCATATTGTCTGTCACTTTCTCCTGGTTTTCTTAATGCTTTCCATGAGATATATAGTTAAAGGGTCTATTATAAAAAGTGATTTTCTTAATCTATTTACATAATAATAATTAACATTTATTAAGATATGGAAAATTATACTTATCATTTGCAGCATATATGGTAAATATTTTCCTAACAACAAATTGTGAAACTCACTCACCAACATGATATTAAATCGTGACATTCAAAACATTTTCAAAAAAGTACAAGGAAATTCCAAAGCATTTCATGAAGAAATTTGTAAATTCCTTCAAATAGAAAAGGAACAAATTAAACAAACTAGCTTGTATAATAAAGCAAAGCGCACTCTAGATGAAATTAAAACACTTAATAAATGTTCTAGGAAGGAAAAGTATTTAGAAAAATTAGATTCGGAATTCATTTTGCCATCTCTGAAAAGAAAAGGCAATATTGATAATGTTCAACCAAAAACTAAAAAACAAGAAATTGATCCCGATTCCTGTGCTGGTTGTGACCAGCTGCGCACAGGTGAAAAGAAACTGAGAAAGGTCAGAAATGTTAAAATAAAGGTACTCAATCAAAAATTAAAAAGAAACAAACATACTATTCAAAGATTGCAGGCCACAATCAGCAGTCTCCGTGTAAAATTAAAAGAATGTGAGTCTTCCAAAGAAAAACTTGAAAAAAAGAAAAATACAAGAACATCTACTATTGGTACTCAGTGTAACACATTAAAATCATATATAGATGATTTGAAAGAAGAAATTGATCATTTACATTCAAGTTTGGAAGATCAGGTTTCTGAAGACAATGAAAAGCAGAAAACATTAAATTTAAGAGACCATACTTCTAGAGGCAATCCCTATGATTTTAAATTGAGAAAAGTATTGTATGAGTTTAGAAGTCGAAATATTCCTGTCCAACATATCAATCCCATCATTAAAGAAGTTTTAAGTCTTGTTGACATGAGTATAGAAGAGTTGCCACATCCATCAACAGTTGCAAAGCTAAGTAGTGAGCTAGGCATTTTAAGTCGTAGTCATATTATTTCTGAAATACAAGATTTAGATAATTTAACAATTCATAGGGATGCTACTACCAAAAAAGGAAGACATTATTATGGGGTGGAAATATCTACAAGTGACAAAACTTTTACAGCGGGGTTGAGGGAAGTTGTAGATGGCAAGGCAGATACTTATGTTAGTTGTTTGAAAGAAATTTTTGATGATGCTTGCCATGATTCTGAAAATGCCAATTTTAATATAATTTCAAATGTTTCAAATTTTATGACAGATAGGAGTGCCACAGAGCAAAAGGTAAATAATATATTGGAGGATGAAAAAAAGTGTATTACAAACAATGATACAGTTATAAATTCTTTTAAATGTTCAGTGCATCCCCTTTTGCAATTTTCAGATGTTTGTGAGAAAGAAATTTCTAGACTAGAAAAAGATTTTAAAATCCAATGTGAGGTAAATAAAAATGAAAGTGCAACCCTATGTTTGTTGCGTTTTGTTTCCAAGTTCTTTTTTAAAGATGGATGTGGTGACCCAGTTTATGCTCCAACATATTTGAAAGATAAATTGGAATTTTCAAAGGTACCAATCATGAGATCTAGGGGAAACAGATTCAATACACTTTTTTATAATGCAGCAGGAACATTTTATGTTCATAAGCAAATTTTAAATTACTTACAAGGATCGAAGAGTTCTTTAAATTTTACTGAAGGTGTTATTTGTACAGGTCTTTCAGACAGTAGTATTGTATGCATTGTGCGTGCATTAGGGATTCTTAATGTACTTTTTACTAGACCTTATTGGAACTCTGCAGAAGTTTCAAATTCTGCTATTGAAATGGGGAGCATTTATAGAAGAGTTGTGGAGTTCCTTGACACTTGTCTTCAGAATCCTGATCTTCTTTTACACAATAAAATCTCCTTGTTCTATGGACCATCTGTTTTTAATGAAGTCTCCTCATATCTTTTTTTACCACATGCAAATGATGATGCTACATCTCATGTTTTAGAATGTCTCTGTACTGTTTTAAAAGATAAATGTGTCCATCTTTTTAAGGATTTTTTAATTGGTGGTAAATTTTATGATCCACCGAAAGATATTATTTTAAACAGCCAATCATGTCCCCCAAACAATATTAATGTTGAAAGACTTATGGCCAAATTAGATGCCAGTCTAGTCAAATCTTCAAATTTCAATGTAAATACTATGGAAAGCATCATCATGTTCAAAAACAATAAAACTTCTGAATGGCTGAAATCAAAATCTGAAGCCGAACAATGCACATTAATAACAAAAGCCAGAAAAAGAAATACACAGGTTTTAAAAGAGGTGAAGGAAAGAAAATTTAACTTATTCCAAAAACATCTGCAACAAATAAGAGAGAGAGAAAAATGTGTACAAATGAAAAAGCAAAAGAAAGAAGAACAACTAAATGCTGCAGTTGAAAAAATAAAATCTCATGGTCTATGGAGTGACAGGAATCGGGTTCAAAAAGAACTGGAAAAACTTCCCTCTAAAAAAGAAAAAGTATCTGCCATGAAAGAGCAAATTAATTTATTAAAAACTGTTTTCGTTGTAAATCCTCAGATAAACATCTTACTTACTTCAGTAAAAATAAAAAAACCCATGACCTTCAAACTCTAATTGATAATTTTCTCACTTTGATGGAAAAAACTGTTACAACAACTTCTGAGTCTGTGAAGGAGAAATCCCTAAAACCCCTGGAAATGATAGGGAAACAGTTTAAACACATGTGGACTGACCAGGGTCAGGACACCCTGTGGGAAGGGAAGATTATTTCATATGAGGATGGAATATTTAAAGTACATATATATGAATATATTTAGAGTTTCTTTTTTAATTTTCCATCTAATGTTGTTCTATAACAATATTATACAAGTGTTATGTTTTTTGGGGGACCATAACAGCTAGTTGTTACATCAATCTTTTCTTGCATTCTTTTCTACAAAAAGGTGCTTGGTGATCATAATAGAATTATATATTTACATTAATAATATACATTTATTGACAGAGTTTGAGGGCAACATATGGGTTTTGTCAGACCCAAGAAAGAAACAAACACTATAATTGGCTTCAAGGGTCGAGAAAACCATATTGCCTGAAAACACAGTTAATATCTGTTTTGTTATACCTTTCATTTTAATATTTTGGATATACATGTATTTTGCCGTCATGTAACGTATATCAGGTCCGTCACTGTTGAACACTAATTGATGAAAATGTGATTAAGGTCTGTCCATTCAGTGACATGAGCGGTCCAACTTTTCAAAGGTATAACAATTCTAAATATGTATGCATGTATGACCTATATGTCTGGGGCCTTAATTGGGCAACATTTTCACCTTCAGGTCAAACAAATCATATTTTGCCCTGAATAACTGTATAATACTTTGCAAGAAGAGGGAGTGGTTCATTGTCCCTTGTTTATGCATGTTAATGCAATTAACATTTACATTAGTGTTGCACTATGCCACTGTCTTGTTCATATGCACCTCATATTTGCATTAACTATTCTGTGTGCTTATGTAGTGTAAATGTACATTGTTTTCATTAATCATCATATGAAATTGATTAGTTCAATGTTCCCCATTCTCTCTTGATATGTGTAAATATATAATTATATATATACATATATACATGTATTCAATTCAATAATGATATGTTAAACATTTACAGGTCAAATACTGGGATAAGACAGATTTATGTCAAGTTGGTGAAGAAGATCAAGATATTTATGAACTAACAGAATCGGAAATTTTAGCTGATATAAAAGAAGGAAATCTTTCCTTCACAGGTATATATTTCATTTAATGAAAAAAAAGTTCATTTTCAATAAGAAAAAAGAATATAATAATAGACTAACTTATCAATTCATTTTTGTTTGTGTAACTTGGCTGCAATTTCTTAACTTAAATTTCTATTTCTATTTATTACAGACTCAGAAACACCAAAACCTTCATCAGTGCTGGATCATTCCTACTCGTTACAAACCTAAGTATTAATTAGAATTTAATTAACAAACATGTCGGAAAACAAACTTAGAAAGTTTATATCTAAAAGCTCTGAGCTGCCAACAGGTCACAGAAACTGTGTACCAGTTGTGCTCTCAGATAGTAAGGGCAACTGGCTGAAAAGAGTTGTATTACACAATACTGAAAAAGAAATTTTATGGTGGTCTAAAAGTGGGGCAAAAATTGAAGATAGCATGGAGTGGTTGAAAAAAAATATAGAAGAAAAGATTAAACGCCATGGCAACATATGGTTGTATGTTTGGTTAGGCACTTGTAACTTAACTTCTAAAAATAAACAGTACATATCTCTTACATCTGATAATGGGGATGAAATTGATAAAATTATTTTTAAATGCAGAGAAATTATAGAATTTGTTAATAATTATTCTGGCTGTAAAGTAACAATATTAGAAACTCCAGTATATTCAATTAAAGAATGGAACAAATCAAGAGGACACAAAGACCCCAACCTTTTTGAAACTGATGATAAAAAATTAGGAGAACAAATTTATATGTTAAATAATAGAATTAGAGATTTAAATAAAACTCAAGGAGTATACTCCCCCAACTTTTCTTCAGACTTAAGTGCCAGTGATAAATATCGCTGTGGTAAAAATAGAAAATTAAAGACAAAAAAATATTATAATTTTAAACTTTATAAAGATGGGATTCATCCTAACACTCTGTTAGCAAAGTGCTGGTTAAAAAAAGTTTCTGGACAGGCTAAAAGAGATTGTTGGTCTTAGATTTTAAACAATGATTATTTCATGATAAATTCATCTTAGTTCATTTAATACAAAATACTGTAAATATGTCAGTGTATAAATATGCAAATAAAGGGTGTTCAAATATATCTGAAACCATCACATTTTCTTTAAAAAAAATCATTTAAGGATGAATTATTGTAGAGTTTTTGCTTGGTTTCAATATTATGTCTAATCATTAATGCAAAGTAGTGATTTCTGTATTGAAATGTTATCAAAAATGAAATCTTCTATAAACAATTAATTATCAACATTCCTATACCCTTTCTTTATTGAAGAACACTATAAGCATTTTTCTCTCATATATATTTCTTATGATTTTTTTCTCTTAATTATTGTGTAATATTTAATGTATTATTTTTTGTATTTCATTTCACCACATGTTTAATTAATAAAAAATGAATTTAAACCTACAGCATAGAAAAATAAGTAACATGCATTATAAATAAAAGAATAAACAAAAAGCAAACAATTTAATTATGCATTCAATGGAATGTGATTTGCCCAGCTGTCTTATAAAAGTTTTAAGTTTCAGAAAATTACAGGTTTCAGAACCTAAAAAATTCTATTTTTATGTAGAAAAATAAAAATAGAAATAATTTTTTCCCTATAACCTGACTTTAGATTGTTAATTTTGTTCAACTCCATATTTCTTAAGTATTTTTTTTCTCAGAAAAATAATATTTTTTTTATTTTGTATTTCATTTCATATCTTAATATTCATAATTTTAAAAAATCTTTCTTATATGCTACAGATATCAAAAAAAAGAACATGATTTTCACTCATTGAATACACAAGTGAAGATTCTTACTGTTTTTTTTTTGCCTCATATAATTTTGGCCCGCAAGCTGTGTAATTATTGTCTGTGTTTTGCTTATAGAATGTATTTATTTTGGAAAATCATTAAATGGTAAAAGCAACATTTTATATGAGTGAGGGTTTATGAACCTTGATTTATGAATTGGTTAAGAGAAGATGGGCATAGAAATATTACAATATTTAGGCAGTCAATTTTTGGGGGTCTCATTTCTACCTTTTTGAATTAAATTAAGATGTTGAATTTAATTTAAGAATTCTTAACTTTAAACCGCCTTCACCTCATTAAATTTCTAAACTAATTAAATTTATATAATGCTATATATAATTAACATTTTGCCTTTATTTTACACACAAACTGGAAATTATATGCAGCTATGAAGCCTATGATATTTTTAAAAATATATTTTTACATGGTATCAGACTTATTTCACCCTCTGTTTGAAATGTGCCTAAGAAAGGTAATTATCTTGGACACTATCATAAAGGAACAAAGTTTATATATTTGTCAAAAAATTTGCTCATAAAACAATTTTTAAAATTTTCAAAACTGTGAATTTTGGATCTGTTTGATTTTCATATGTACTTCTTAAATAAAATACTGAAGTTTTTTCAAGTAATTCATTACTGAACTTATATTTTCTATAAAGATGGAATTTGATATAGTAGAAACAACATTGTAGCTATGTCCAAGCTCCTTTGATAACAAATTAAGACTTAAATATGAGTTATACTTATTGATATTTTAATATGGAACCTGTCTACAATTTATAATGAATATTGTCTACCTATAAACAAACTTTCTTCAACACTCAACTTTAAAATACTCTTTAATATTTGAAAGGAACAGTACTTGAGTTTAATTTGAAATTCTTTGCATAAATCTGATAATCACCTCATTGAAATTTTTAAACTTTTAAATGATCAAGTATAATGTAAATAATAATTAACATTTTGCCTTCACAATATTTTACACACAAACTGGATAATTTTTTGATGCAGCTATGTGAAGTCACTCCTGATTATATCAAGGACCATATACCTTTAATGTTACAATCTTACAGAAGTTTCTCCTCATTATTTGGAAGAGTGTATATGTAAAAATCTATTGATGGGCTGCAAATTTGGACCTCATTATTTCAAAGGAACAGTACCTGTGTATACGTTGAAATCTACATGAAGTTTCTCCTCATTATTTCAAAGGAACAGTACCTGTGTATACGTTAAAATATACCTGAAGTTTTTACTTATTATATCAAAGGACCATTACCTGTGTATACGTTACAATCTACATGAAGTTTCTCCAGCATTATTTGATAACAGTACCTGTGTATACGTTAAAATATACCTGAAGTTTTTACTTATTATATCAAAGGACCATTACCTGTGTATACGTTACAATCTACATGAAGTTTCTCGATCCTCATTATATCAAAGGACCATTACATGTGTATACGTTAAAATCTACATGAAGTTTAATTTGTTATATCAAAAACATTACCTGTGTATACATTAAAATCTACATGAAGTTTTTCGATTTTTCAAAGGAACAGTACCTGTGTATATTATTGGATAACCTGAAGTTTTTACTTATTAACAAAGGACCATACCTGTGTATACTTACAATCTACATGAAGTTTCTCGATCCTCATTATATCAAAGGACCATTACATGTGTATACGTTAAAATCTACATGAAGTTTCTCCTCATTATATCAAAGGACCATTACCTGTGTATACGTTAAAATCTACATGAAGTTTCTCCTCATTATTTCAAAGGAACAGTACCTGTGTATACGTTAAAATATACCTGAAGTTTTTCCTTATTATATCAAAGGACCATTACATGTGTATACGTTAAAATCTACATGAAGTTTCTCCTCATTATTTCAAAGGAACAGTACCTGTGTATAATTAAAATATACCTTTTTCACTCCTCATTATTTCAAAGGAACATTACATGTGTATACTTAAAATTTAACATTATTTCAAAGGAACAGTACCTGTGTATAATTAAAATATACCTGAAGTTTTTCCTTATTATATCAAAGGACCATTACATGTGTATACGTTAAAGTCTACATGAAGTTTCTCCTCATTATTTCAAAGGAACAGTACCTGTGTATATGTTAAAGTCTTCGTGAAGTTACTCCTCATTATATCAAAGGACCATTACCTGTGTATATGTTAAAATCAACATGAAGTTTCTCCTCATTATATCAAAGGAACAGTACCTGTGTATACGTTAAAGTCTTCGTGAAGTCATGCACTCCTCATTATATCAAAGGAACAGTTCCTGTGTATATGTTAAAGTCTACGTGAAGTTTTTCCTCATTATATCAAAGGACCATTACCTGTGTATTCGTTAAAATCTACGTGAAGTTTCTCCTCATTATTTCAAAGGACCATAACCTGTGTATATGTTAAAGTCTTCGTGAAGTTACTCCTCATTATTTCAAAGGAACATTACCTGTGTGTACGTTTAAGTCTTCGTGAAGTTACTCCTCATTATATGAAAAGGACATTACCTTGAAGTGCTTTGAATAAACCACATCCTAAATTTTTCAGGAAAAAATACACTTATAATGTCTTCTTTAATTGTAATAAAATTTCTTATATTGGTCATCATAGTCTGGAGCTGTGCCGGCGGGGATTTAAATCCCTGGTACCGCCACGGATGCCGGATTGGTTCAGACTAGACCAAAAAATTAATTATCTTTCATACATTCATTCTTTCTTCATTTCCTCCCATTGCAGAATTAATTCATTCAACTACAAACAAACACATTTGGCCTTACTATATCCCTTCCCACTCCAGTGCAAGGGGGTAAAAAATTAGTAATAAAAATGAGAATCTGTGTCAATTGAAACTATGTCAAATTTTTATGTATAAAACCTTAACAGTATTATCTGTATTTTTGTAATTGTCCAAAATAGTTATCAAAATGTCATTCACTTTTTTAATTCAGCCAGTTGCCTGTACTATAAAGATATTAATATTGCACAGGAAAATACAAATTTTCAATTTTTAATAAGTAGGATTTTCAAATATTATAAAATCTCAAACTTTTGCAAAAAAAGATTTTTTTTTGGCCAGATGTAACATCAAATGTCTTCTTTTATGATTTGCATTTTTTTAAAATTGTAAATTACAATTTATTACTTTTTATACAAAAGTTGTGAGCAGAATCAGTCAGCGCGGGTTTTTCCGCACTATACTGATACTAATTGTTTGCATAAACTTTTGTATTATTACATGTATATCGGTCTTCCTCACAAAAACAATTAAGCCTAGCTCCTAAGAAATTAATATAGCTTTTAGCTCTTTCTTATTTGATGTTGCATATATATAGTTATCATTTATTGATATTCAGCACTGATGAAGGGAAAATATATGAGGAATTATTAACATTTCAAAATGGCATTGGATAAAAACATTGATTTCTGCCATTTAAACGTACCATCTCATTTGTCTTAATTATTCTTGGAATCCTCAGAATTTCTTACAATATATTGACCTTACATACTAAATTATGGAATCTTAATTTGGACTGTGTTGGTAAATTGTTGTAAACAAAATCAGTCAGCGCGGGTTTTTCCGCACTATACTGATACTAATTGTTTGCATCAACTTTTGTATTATTACATGTATCTCAGTCTTCCTCACAAAAACAAGCCTAGCCCCTAAGAAACTAAGAAAATTTTAGCTCTTTCCTATTTGATGTTGCACTTTATATATCATTTATTGATATTCAGTACAGATGGAGGAGAAACATTTTATAATGATAAAAACATTGATTTCAGCCATTTAAATGTACTTTTAGTCGATCTCATTTGTCTTAAATTCTTGGAATCTGCATAATCTCTTACAATATATTGACTTTACCTACCTACTAAGGACTGTGTTGGTATTGGAAGCAAAATTAATTTGGACTCTGTTGGTAAATTGTTGTGAACAAAATCTCCTAGAAACATAAATTTTAGCATTTGGACTCTGTTTGTAAATTGTTGTAAACAAAATCAGTCAGGGTTTTCCGCACTATACTGAATCTTATTGTTTGCATAAACCTCACATTTTTTCTTGTACCATATCCTACAAAAGTAGGTCCACATAAATATACAGTTAGCAGCTATTCCTAAAAGCTGATACAATTTAAGAAAATAATACAATTTTTTATATTCACAACTCAAATGAAAGGATTTACAAATGTTAGAAGTTTAATTATAACTTTTCCAAATCTTAAAACTTCTTAAAG